ATCCTTTTTCCTTACTGAAACTTTTTCTGAATCCAATTTTATTTTGAATTTTAAAAACAAAAGCAAGAACAAAAATCAGAAACAAAGAAAGAAACAGGGTAATATAGAGCAATACATATGTTACAGATTTTCAAAACAAGAGTAACTGATTAACAATGGGTGGTAGAGGGCCAGCCAAACAGCTCAGCAGACTAAAACACTTGCTTAGGCAGAGACCAGAGGCCGAGTTCGATCTCTGCATGCCTTGTTGGCACCGCCCCCCGGGGCGCACTGAGAAGGTAATCGAGACTGGGCGTGGTGACACGTGCCTGTAATCCCAGCGCTTGGGAGGCTGAAAACAGGAGGATCATATTGAGTCTCATCTACACAGTGAGACTCTGTAGACCCTGCAGACCCTTCCTAAATACATAAAAATTGATATATCATTCATTTTTATCGTCAAATCAGTTGCTCAGGTTAACAGACATAGTTATGTCAGATTGCACATATGACATGCTTGAATGTCTGTCCTTAGTCTTCTAACTGCTTACCATTTCTAATACCATATCAGTTATTACTATACTCTTTAAAATAAATTAAAAATATTTTTTAAAAAAATAGATAAAATAAAAACTGCAACACACTAGTCACCCTTCTCTCATTGCTGGGACAAATACCCGACACACAGGCTTAGGGAAGGAAAGGTTTATTTAGCTCACAATTACTGGAGATTTCATAGTTTAAAGCAGCCTGAATCACATAGCAAGACCTCGACACACAGCTATCCCATGCTACAGGGTCTGGAAGAGAGGCTGGAGCACCTGTGTCCAGGATGATCCGCTCTGTACCTCCAAGAGAGGCCACCAGCCCAGGGGTGGGGGAGATGCACGCTGTTAAGTATAACGGCTCACGCCTCTTTGGCTCCGCCCCTCTAGCTCTGTGCTGATTTTCAGGCCTGCGCCCGCCCCTCAAGACATGCACCGCTCCTGGAGCGGTGACCACCCCATGATTTACATGAAGCTTTGGGGGAACAACGAGATACAAACTATAACACATAGCAAACTTAACCAAACAGGTAATAAACTTGTGCAGTAAAAACTGCAACACATTGCTAAATGGAATTACAAAAGACAAAGATACATAGAAAAATTCTGTACTTTCATTCACTGAAAAAATTTTAAAATATCATTATTAACCAAGTCTATCGATAGGTTTGCTGCAACATAATCAAAATCTTTTTTATATTTTTGAAAGAAATGGGAACATACAATTTTACATTTCATAAGGAATTCAAAAGGCCCCTGAATAGCTAGAACAACCTCACAAAGCACAAAGTTCAAAGATTCACAAATCCTGATTCAAAAAGTTACTAGAACACCGTATTGGCAGGGCCAAGACAAAATGTTATATGTATGGTCAATTATTTTTGACAGGTTAGTCAAGATTTTGTAACTAGGAGGTCAGACTTTTCAAAAATTACTTCTGCAAAGGTGGGTAATATGCAAAATGAGGTTAGAATTTCTCTGATTTTGGGTGCAAATATTGACTACAAATGATTCCTACACATAAAGTTATACTCCTTTTAGTGAAAAATACACAGCTTTCAGCAAAAAGAAGAAAAATGTGGTGACATCACACTTAGCTATGTTTTTATGGATATGACAGATGGAAAAGTCAGAAAGAAGAGATAGGTAAGTTGTACTGATCTGAGCTTTATGGAAGCACTGCTGTCCGAGTCTACTCTATCCGGATATCAGGGCTGCATTTTCTTTTTATTAGCAATGTGTGTGTACTTCCAAGTTGTTCTGAAAGTGACCACTTCAAATTTTCTTTGTAATTGGTGGCTGTCTTTGATGATGACTGGAGGGGTTGAGATGGAAATGCCCTACACTATTGTAAACCTAGGCCCTCTGTGAACTATTTCTCATTACAGTGCTTCTTAGGGATTACTTCTTTTTTAAAATTAATTTTATTGAGAAAAAATAGCAATGAGACAGTTTCAAAACAGGCTAGTAATACATTGTATACTGTTGTCTTCATAGTAGTTATTCACAGTACAAGATGCAGACATGACACGTTGTTTAAACACTATTAGAATAAATATTTTTTCTCATTAAACTAAGAGCAAGTAGCTGTATATGTATCCCAAATACTTTGTATATACAGATATTTGGCTCTAGGCCTTTAGCCCTTTGAGGACTCAGAACATAAGAGAACCTGTACTGTAACATCCTCTAACTCATTGGTGTCCCAAATTTTCTGATCAAGGAGATCATAGGGCCACAGAGGAAAGTGATCAATGATGTAGAGTGTGCCTAAGAAGAGTCACCTAGAGAAAAAGTATTCTCTCAGGTTTTCACAGAGAGCACATTGGTCAAGCAATGGCCATGACTCATCCACATGGCTGACACTGAAAAAAGATCTACAAACTTATGTGCAGGGCTTCAGGGTAAATCCTGAGGGGATTTGACTGACCTTGTCATACACAAAAGTTACATGCTTTGTTATATAGGTCTTGTTTTATCTTGGTCTTAACCATCCAGCAGAAAAGTATAAACACGACGTACAAAAAGTAAAGCCTAGGGATTATTTCACACTCATTGAAATCAGCATGAGAAGTTGCTGGGCTCAGCAAGGGGGGCCAGAGGGAGGGAGCCAGAGCAGAGCTGCACCCCAGGGGTGGAGATGGAGCAGATGAGCCCTTTCCCTGGCGAGTCCAACTGTCATGGCCTTGACATCGTGACAACAGTGGGAGTTAGCCAGGAGCCCTGGGACTCAGATAACAGGGACTGACCTTGCTGCCCTGCACAGCTCCATGCAGAGTTGGCTGCACAGCCTGCACAGGTGAGAACTCCTGACTCTGAGGACCATGACTGCTTTAGCTGTGGAAGGGGAGCAGCGGCAGGCAGGTGGGCCAGGGCCAGGTGGGGTCTGGGTGTCTCACCTAATGTGGAGAGGGAAGTGCCAGGACACAGGAAGGAGACAGCCCTCCACCTCCAAATAATGCCCAGGAAGCTCTGTCTCACTGGTCACAAGTGAGCCCTTGTGTGCAGGCCCCGAGTCAGATGCACTGTGACTGAGACTGCTTTTTACACTGGAGAGGGAGCAGCTGGAGACCTGGGGCCTCAACTTCAAGCTGGCTGTATGGCAGCCCTGATTCTCCGTCACATCCCTGATGTGTTTGTGCAGTTTGGCATTTCCAGTAGTTGGGATTTTTGTTGAAAACCATATTTCACTTCTGGAGCCTGTAGGCTTTTTAGGATGGTGACTCCTTTTTTTCAGTCATTTCATTCATTCCTTTCCTGCACTTAAAATGTACCCTGTATGAATTATTGAGTCTGGGTGGTGGGAGACAGTCATAATGAAACGTTGTAATTCTCATGGTTAGTTGTGGAAAATGATTTTTTGGTTCAGGGAGATAGATCATGGGCACAATTCCTGTTTAGCAAGTGCCACAGCACTATCGCTAGTTAATGAATGAGAGAAAATTAGGTCTGAGAGAAGCCAAGAAATATGTTCATGGTCTGTTAGGAAGGAAGCAGAGACCACCTAGGTATCACCTCACATTGAAAAGTCAGCTCATTTCTGCCATTCAAACTTTATGATCATAAGCTTCATTGAATAATTAACTTGTAAACTAGTTTGCGCATTTAATAGCAGGCTCTGAGCTGGTCACTTAGTCACTAGACAGAAAGAAGTGTCAGGTGTTCTCACTCCCAGGGGAGGGAGGAAGCACAGGCATGGGTCTCACAGTCTGAAGCTCTTAGGAAAAGTGCAGCCCAAAAAAACTGTAGGCCAATTTGTGAATGCTGGTCAATCGAGAGCTGTGAAGGGTGAGGATGTGGAAAAGACCATCCTTGACACGTTGCATATATTCTTGAGACAAGCTAAGTACAAGTGTTACATTTATTGGGGAAAGGAGTTGAAAATTCTTCAGAGAGCTAAATTTAGGAGGACAAATAGAATTAATGTTGCCATAACAAGATATCTCTATCTATGTTTTAGAAGAAAATAAGCAAAACAGATTTCTCTTCCAAAGCTCATATTTAACATGCAGAAGAAAAAGCAACACAGAAATGAGGATGCTATTTACAAAGTGGGTTTGCAAATCACAACATGAGATACAACAGTATTTTGAAAATCAGGGATTGGGAAAGTCATGGGATGGCACAAGTTTCCAAAGACAGAATAGGTAAAATGTGTCACTTGGTAGAGTGCACAGGACCAGTGTCAGAGTTGTATACCTTCTCTAGTGCTCTACTGGGGGCTTCTCTCAGGAGAGATGGATATGAAGAACAAGGTAAATGAGAGTTTACCAAAATCAGTTTTAGTCTGATTTTGCCCCAGAATTAGTCCTACCCTGAGGCAAAAGGCTGACCTTTCTCCTCCCCTATTAAGCAACTATGGTGTCACTTTCAACCCTAGGCCACCCCAAGCCTTGGGGGAATGATTAGACACCTAACTTGTTCTGGGAAACTAGTCTGCCTGGCAACCGCAGTTCCTTGGAGAAGCTCTGTTACAATTCAGTGAATTTACCACTCGCTGAGAGATGAATATCTGTGAGGTGGATTAGCAAACCTAAGCTGGTCACAAACAAGCCACTGGCAGAATGTGATTTATTGGGTCTGGGTAGTGGAGAGAGAGGAGGTGTTTGGGCCAGTACTCAGGTTAACAGTTGAGACATCAGGTGTTGGTGTTCTTGGTTTAGTTTTTACCTAGAATAAAACTAGCACATGCCCTTTGGACTCGAGGGACACAGACAGGACCTTCTGGAGAGCGAGGCATGAGCAGGGTGCATCATCAGCACGGAGTTTGTGTCCGAAGTGTAATCATCACTATGTCCTTGTTAGCGGGAAGAAGGAAATAAAGAAAGCAAGATCAGGTGGAGAACCACTACATTCGCAGCTGTCCAAAGACCTATTTTCAGTAGAGTCGATAGACAAAATGCATAGAAAGCAAAGTTGGCATCTCTGATTATCTGTGCTTCTCCAAAGGATTTCTGAGTACAGTGTGCGATTCAGAAGATGCTTTGGGTGAACTTCATTCAGGGAATAATTTTCCTTTTTCTCACTGGACCTGGAATTTGGGGGAACACACTCATATTCATAAGATACTTCTATATAATTGTTTTTATTCCTGAGAAAAAACCCATAAGCTTTATCATCATTCACCTGGCTTTCTCAAATGCAGCCATTATTTGTACTACAGGAATCAGAGATCTAGCCCCAGTTTTCTACTTCAGAAACTTCCTAGGTAGCACTGCTTGTAAAACTGTGGTTTACCTGGGGCGGGTGGCGCGGGGCCTCTCCATCTGCACCACCTGTCTGCTCAGCGTGGTCCAAGCCATCACCATTGGTCCCAGGACCACGCTGTGGGGAAAGCTTCGGCCGCGGACTCCATGGCAAGTCCTGCCCTATTTCTTCCTCTTCTGGGTCTCTAGCCTTCTGGTAAGCTCCAACTTGCTCTGGACCATCACAGCAGTCAGCAGCATGAACAGATCTGAAGTTGCAATGTACGCTGGTGGTTGTTACTTACTGCCTTCCAGACACATGGTCCAGTGGCTTTTCCTCGCTCTCATGGCTCTTCGGGACGTCCTCTTCCAGGGTCTCATGGGCTGGAGCAGCGGCCTCATAGCTCTCCGTCTGTATGAACATCACAAGCGCGTGCTCTACCTGCGCAGCTCCCGGCTGGCAAACGGTTCCAGCCCGGAAATCAGAGCCATGCTAAGCACCCTCATTCTCATGGCTTGTTTCCTTTTCTTTTTTTGGACAGATTTCATGTTCTCCTTCTACATAGGTTCCACTGTGACAAATGAAAGTACACTGCTGTATATTAAAATCTTTCTAGAGCTTGGTTATTCCATTCTCAGCCCCTTTGTGTTGATGCACAGGGATGTTCGTGTCAGTAAACAAAGGCAAATTCAAGGAGGAATATGTGGAACGACCTTCTACACCAATTCTTCCATAAACTAAAGTTGTCTTTGTTTCAAATTGATTTGTTGTAATGTTGGAATATTTCAAATGTTGCTTTAATCAAAATGTACAATAAGACACACACTGTCCTTCTTCTTTCTTTCCTTCTCTCCCTCCCTCCCTCCCTCCCTCCCTCCTTCCCTCCTTCCTTCCTTTTTTTTTTTTTTTTTTTTTTTTTTTGCGGAACCAGGGATTGAACTCAGATCCTTGAGTTTGCCAGTCAAGCGCTTATCCTACTGAGCCATCTCCCCGGCCCCTTAACATTTACTTTTTTATTTTATTTTATTTTTTTATTTTTTTTTCCTTCCTTCCTTCTTAAAAGCCGGGTACTAGGCAACTTAAGGCTGATCAGAAGATCCCAGAAGTCACAAAGACAGCTTCTTAGGAATCTCCATTTTCTCGGGGGCGGGGAAAGGGGAAGCGGGGACCAGCGCAGGCCTGGCTGTTGGAACAGAAGTGCGCCCCCCCCCCCAGCTGTTTTAATCCCAGGGGAAGCTGATGCATTCCGTTCCCTCCTTTGCGCTTCCCAAGTGGGCTCAGCTCTCACCACACAAGGAGGTCATTCTGTACTCAGTACCATCCAGCTCTGCTCTGCCCGAGCTCTCTGGGAGCCTGAGCAGGAAGGAAGAATAGAGAGGGGCGAGGTACGGTCTCTCACCTACGTCTGCTGGGTGGGGAGGATTAGGGAAGAACTAATGGCCACTGTATGATGAGTTAGGCACGTCCTGCTGATGGCTGAACTTTGGAGGCTTTCGGAAGGCATAAAGAAGCAAGATCAAGACGCATGTGAGAAATTCCGGAGCAACGCGCTGGTGTTCAGGTGGGCTCTGGGCTCAGTTCCAGCGCATCCTCCCGCCCTCCACACTCACCCTGTCTGACAACGTCCAGCACCCAGTTTGTGCGCAGCGACACAGACATGCGGTACTGGTGGACCACACATGGCAGGCATCCTGGCTCTCCTTTGCAGGAACCCGGTCCGCAGCAGACTCAGAGGGACAGTCCAGGGGGCGGGGATCGAATCTGATGTAGCGCAGGTAGTTCTCACTCCCGCGGAACGCGCGGACTGAGGACACAGGCAGCATCGCGTGAGGCTAAGCTGTCTCTGAGCCCAGCCATCTACATAGCACGCCAAGCTCGGAGGGCTGCGCCCGTGTCCACGCACCCTCCGGGTCGTGGGGCGTGCACTGTCCTGGGGGAGACCCCAGCAGCCAGGCGTCTCTGTGCTCAAGGGAACAGCGCATGTGCTTGGGGAGCCGGTTCCGGAGCAGTGGGCGGTTCCGCGGGGGAGCGCCGGAGGGCGCTGTCGCTGCAGTAGTGTGGGGCGAGTAGCTCAGCGTAGGGTGGGACTGAGGCTGGCGGGAAGGGAGGGACCCTGAAGGCCGGGCTGCTGCCTTCACCAGCAGTAACTGTCCTTGCTCTTGCTGGCAGAGTCATTTGCATTAAAAAAGGAAGAAAGTGGTTTGTGCTTAAGCTTCTCACCTGTAGGTTTGTTACACAGGTACTCCTGACAAGGGCTGTGACACTCCCAGGCCCAGGCAGGGAGCCCCTGTGATCCCAGCTGAGGCAGTCTCCTGCTCAGCATCCCTGGGAGGGAGGAGGTGTTCCCGAGCTCTCCAGCAGTCTCTAGCTCCCAGAGCAGTGTGGATGTGGTCCGAATTTTTCACTAAAAATTATAAAAGGGCTGAGAAGATAAATCAGCAGTTTAACTGCCTGCCTGGCAAGTGCAAGGACCTGAATTCCATCCCCAGTACCTCATGCCTTGCAGGCCCCCGGAGCTGGCCACTGAAACGGGGCGGAGTGGGCAGGCCTATAATCCCAGCGCTGGGGATACTGAGACAGGAGGGTCACTAGGAGTCTGAACTGCGTAGTGAGACCCTGTACCGAGTAAATAAAGAAAAGATTTTTTAAAAGAAATACCAGAAGTGAAACAAGTCCTCTAACAATAACCAGAAAGATTATCGCCTTTTATGAGCTTCCATACAAACATGAAATTCCTGGAATGATTTTTTGAGCAAGATTCACTCTGGAAATAAATCATGTATACTGCAGAAAATAATGCAAAAAGAGTTCCCAGACTGTGATTCCAGCTACAGGCCTGTGGGCGGGAACGGCTCAAACATGAAGACTATCCAGGCCGCAGTGACTGGTACGCCAGCACAGGACAGCGACGGCTGCAGTATTGGCGCTCTGTGGGGCAGGAATAACTCCGTGTTCGCCGAATACAGTTTAGCCCAAATTAGCCTGCACTGCATGCAGTTATGCACACGGAGAAAATTATTTGCGTTTAGAGAAACCGGAATGCGAGGGTTGGCTGCTTATGTGAAATCTGCTCACCCAAGTCTGGAGCTGGTGAGGGCGTGGCTTGCACCTCGGATGTGACAGATGTCCTGATGCGGGCTGTCCCCAAACCTAGAACCGCTCTTCTCTGTGGAATGTAATCGGTAAACTCATGAGCTTATTGGATTCCGAGATGACGAGGGAAAATATGGAGATTTTCTCTCCATGAACAAAGAGAGTATGTTGTCATAATTATCAATAATCAGCCTGGTGTGAATCACAGAGATTACTCGTGGATTTTTGGTTTTTCAAATCACAGCGTTTGGCATCTGTTGAAGTGAGTTTGAACAGAATCTTCTTTATTTCTATGTAGAGAAAACCTTCTAGACCCGCTGAACAAAATCTGAGTGAGTCCCCAGGCTCTCAACAACAGTGAAGCAGGCCCCCCTCCCAGCCCAGCTACCAAGAGCCTACATGGCCAGCCTTGCTGCCAGACGTGCCCAGCAAGCCCGCAGTCAGGCACTAGGGTAGGTGCAGTGAGAGAAATGCTTTTGTGCTTGTCCGGATGAGTCGGTAAGACGGCAAGTGTACCCCAGTGCACCCTGACAATTCTTTTTTGTTTGTTTTTGGGTCTTTCATTACTGCTTTTGTTTTTGTTACTACTTAGTTGGGCAGGGTCTCACTATGTAGTTCAGGCTGATCTGGGGCTCACTCTGTAGACCACACTGGCCTGGGATTTGTGGAGGTCCTCCTGCCTTGATGTCCCAAGTGTTAGCATGAAGGGTGCACACCACCACACCTGGCCTCCCTCCCTTGTTTATGCTCAGTAATCTCTTTTTCATGATTCAAGTTGCAGAAATTAAGACCTGATTTCTTCATGTGATATTGAGTGAGGTTATTTTGAAGCTTTGGAAGTTAAAGATAGAACATCATGGAAAAAGCTGAGTCACTAACAAGTGGTGAATTGAGTTATTCAGGTGGCATTTATTCATTTTGCGAAGAATCCATGTGTTTAAAGCTCAGCAAATGTAGAAAATTGTTAAATAAAGTTTTATTAGAATTCATGCTTTCACCAATTTCTCACAAAATACATAGATTCCCATAGATTCCCTCACAGTCTTCGTTTACATATCCACCCAATGCATGTGACTCCAACGACCCATGCCTTGCTCTTATGGATTAGAACTACACACTCTGTTACTCCACATGCGTCCTTTAGGATCAAGACATTCTTGCACCATTTCCATAAAATTCCTTTCTGTGGATACTTTACAGGGACCAAACATTAAACAAACAAACAAACAAACAAACAAACACCCTCAAAGCAGAACAACAACAAAAGAACTCTTATTCCTAATGTTTATCTTGTATTTTAAAAATAAAGATCGTTGTGATAAAGTAAAACATACATAATGCTTTTAAAAATAAATTTTAAGAAGCAAAATTTTCTGTAAGATTTTTGAAATGTAATTGGTTGGAAAAAGAGAAAATACGCTACACAATTTGGTAAAATATACCAAGTTTTGGCCTTGCCTTCTATTGCTGGAAGATGGGAAGATTGGAAGGAAAAGTCCAACCCTAAGAAATTTAGAATAAAATCACTTTTATGGATTCCCAAGGGGGAGTGGGCTTCCTGTAGGACTCCTGGGTGTGGTTGTGATTGTGAGTGTGAGCCTGTGTGTGTTAGTTTCTGCAGAGTGAACCCAAAGCCTTCACGCTCCAGACATTTTTCTTTCTTTTCTTTTTCTTTCTAATCAGCATCTTGCTGAGGCTCTGAGCTGACAGTCTGGGCTCTGACCTGAGATTTTCAGGTTTAGATTCCTAGAGGGCTGGGACTGCAGCCACCCTCCGCGCTATCCAGCTTTGCATTCTCTACGGTCTCCTCTACGATTCCTGCAGGGTGCAGCTCAGAGACGGACCTCACCAGGACCGCTCTTTGGAAATAAAGCCTGACACGTGAAAGCCACTTTGGCGTGACTCTGTTTTGCACACAGCACAACACAATGAGCAGTACACACGTTCTCATCTGTAGAAAGATGAGCGCAATAGAAAATCGCTGAATGTCTTCCACCCGTGGAGCACGCCAGCTCCTGTCCTGGTTTCCAGCCCTGGGAATCACCACAACAGGAGTGAGGATTGTGTAATCGAAGTCAGAATAAATCAAGAATTTCTTGTTATGGATTCTCTCTCAAAGCAGAAAGTTAACATGAAGATGTTGCACAATCTGTCCAAGAAAAGAAAGGAAAACAAAGAAAGCATCAGAAGGAGCACATTTCAGGCAACTTGGATCTCACGGGAGGTTCTAGAGACCGCGTTTGGCTCCTGCACGTGGAGAACATGCGGCTGCTTCTAGTCCTGCAACAGGAGACTCTAAACAGTGTCCTCACTGCCAGCGGAGGGAGGAAAATCCAGTTCATTGATTGATTTTTGGAGAAAGTCCCAAATTGTCCCTTTACTAGTTTGTGATGAGTTGATGTTGGTGCTTGTGATAATACTGAGCAAGTTCATGCTTACCAGAGCATTGGGGTCTACAGGGAGAGAACTGGTGGGGGGGACATGCCATGCAGCCCGGGGGTGGGGCCTCCTGCACTCTGAGTGTGTGAAATGGGTGGTGCCAACCTGGACCACTGTGAGGAGACCGCCGGTGCAGATGAAGAGGCCCCCAACCACCCTGTGCAGGAAATACATGATAGGGCCTCAGTTCTGCTTCTCAAGGACTTGTA